AACATATGCGCTCTGTAACACCGCACTTTGGGGTCAAACGCACTTTGGGGTCCAACCCCAAAGTGCGTTAAACTTCGCACCGCACTTTGGGGTCCAACGCACTTTGGGGTCAAAATCAAGAAATTGACCCCAAAGTGCGTTAATATGCTACATATCAACGCACTTTGGGTTCAAGAGGTCTAAAGGTGTCATCTGAGTCCTGCTTAAATACTGAGTACTGACTGATTTTCGATCTGCGACATTGAAATATTTGAGGTGGAGTTCAAGATGGCGGTCAATACTTTATGATGCTTAAGTGATAAAAGTTTCATTAATTTTACCACTTGAAATATCTAAAAATTGTGTTCATATAACAAAATTACGTCGGCATAATAGAGATATTTGCATTTTTTTGTTTTTAGTTTTGCATACATATTTCATTTTAGTTTTGCATACATATTTTTTTTCAGTTTTGTATACATATTGTTCTTTTAGTTTTGCATAGATATTTTATTTTAGTTTTTCGCACATATTTTATTTTTGTTTTTCGTACATATTTTAGCCAATCAAAACAGCCTTCACATCTCATAACAGCCCATAGTTGAGTATAAAACTAGCACAGTGGTTTGGATACATTTTGGACCATTTTTGGAATCGGCCCTGTCGTTTTCGGCAGGGCGAAGATGGTTTCGGCCAAGCCTTTTCGGCCATTTTTTAAATTATATGTATTTTATATAATTATTGTTTTTTTTTATTATATACTATAATATTAGTGTCTTTTTGGAAAGGGCAATTGATTGGTGATCAGTTATTATTCCATGAATACGCACCACTCAACCCCACCCATTCGGGGGGGGGGGGGCATTGACTTTAAACCAAGCCGACCACTGGTAAAATCTTCGCCCTGCGGGAGATACTCAGATAATAACATTCCTGCCTTATGCCCCGGGACAGCGCAAATATTTAACCTCGATTTTTTTTAACCCGCACTTCTCCGGGGGCAAGGGAGGTGGTGAAAAATGACTGGTGTATTACAATGATCTAAATAGGTCCTTATATTCCACTGATTTAGAAAAAATGCTTAAAGCTTTGAAGGATTTGTATTAAATTTGGATCAATTCTTTAGCACATCCAGATAATGTGCCGAACTTATATGCCAGATGTGCCGGCTCAAGGTCGGAGTCACACCTACAGATCAAAGGATTAAGACTTGGGTTTCATTCTCCTAAACCCCATGAAGGATTTTAAGGCACCTTGTGTCAAATGTTAACCACATCGAGACCATATGCAGAATATATTTATACTAAATAGTGTTGTTATTTTTTTTGATACCTCCAAAAATGAAAATGTTGGTGCATTTGCAAATAGGGTACTGTAATTACCAGATGACGAAGTGTTTGAAAATGGTGTTTCACAAATGGCGTAATTATCCAAACCTCTACTTTACAAATTGCGTCATGTACAAATATGTACGAAAAAACAAAAATAAAATATGTACAAAAAACTAAAATAAAATATGTACAAAAACCTAAAATAGAATATGTATGCAAACTAAAAATGAATACGTATGCAAAACTAAAAAAAGTATGTATTCAAAACTAAAAAAAAATATGTACGACACAAAAAATATATGTACGAAAAAAAAGTATCCAAAAATGCAAATGTCACTTTTATGCCACCGCTCAAAAAACTCAAGTACAGAAATTGTGTATCCCTAAAATTAAAAGATGCTGCGAAAAAATATCCCGTTCTGTCAGTCATTTATTTGATAAATTTTGGTACCATATTGTGCCCCATTTTAAATATGTTGGGAATGAAACAAAATGCAGTTAATATTTTTTCCAAAGAACTATAAGTATACTCTATTGCAATGTCCTGGTGAAACATCAAGTTTTTCAATCGGACTATAAATAGAGATTTTTTACAAATACATTATTAAGCTTATCAACAAATTTAAGGGCTTTTGTAAGCTCCGCAACAACCGTTCGCCAGAGACTTTTTTCATGGGAAATCCTACATCTTTAGAAAGAGCAAATATGAATTTTATAATGTTAAAATAATGGTATCAGAGAAATGTAAGATGTTTGTTACCTGAATAAAGAAGCGATAATTGTGAAATTATTTGTCATAAAAGTAGTCAAAACAATGTAGTATTTGACTTCCATATAAAATACTAATTCACTATAACTGTACTCATCATTGCCAAAAAAGCAACAGATGAAAAAGATGGTTCAGGTAATTGGCCAATGTGTATTTTTTGGATAATATAGAAATACATCAAAATAAAAAAGCTTTTAAGAAAAACAAAAAAAGCATAATGGGCCTTTAAAACGTTATTTTTAACCCTCGGGGGATCGATACCCCACAATCCCCTCTATACCCCCACTGAGAATTTACATTATTCTGAAGCTCCGCTCTTAATGTGCGACTACTTAAATAGTTGATTTTTTAGTACTGCCTGTACGGACGACTACTTAAAGCCGCATCTACACCTAGTCAAGTTTCTTATATGTCACATTTAGCTAAATAAATGGCTCTTTCAACATATTATCAGACACATTTGTTACTGAAATGTCTTACTAAGATTACACAAAATTTATACCTTTGTCTATGCAAAGACTATCATATTTCTATAAAATGTGTAAATAAAAAACAGGAAAATAATGCATTTAGCTGGAAACAATGGAGTTAATGAAAGGTGAACATTCTTTTAAAATAAATGGAAAATTTGAGAAAAAAATATTTTAAGCTTAATAATTGATACAAATTCTTTATTTGGTGATTTAGTTGGTGAAAGTTCTTCACTTACCAATCAAGACTATTTAAATCCCTATTGATTCTACTATAATTCAGGGCACATGTTTTGTGTCTATTTAATACCCTGATGTTTTGTTTACCATTGGCTTTGACTACAGTATACTATTTAAAACATAATGAACATTCATTCTCTATGACCCCAAAGTGCGGTCATTTGCCTGATGTTAAAAAATGTATATGTACCTGTTTAACGCACTTTGGGGTCGAAATTGGACCCCAAAGTGCGCAACGCACTAAAGTACGTAACGCACTTTGGGGTCGGACCCCAAAGTGCGTTTGACCCCAAAGTGCGGTGTTACAGCGCTCTATTTCCTTCGTTTTTCTGAAAATCCCCATATCGGACAGCATAATTTAAAATAGACCCTATGAATGCGTCAAATAGTTTCATTGATAACGCTGGACTTATATTAAATTTATAATTGTTACCCAAATGTTCGTGTTTCGCTTCAAAGCTTTGCCAATAACGTATTGGTTACGAACCAGTACAATTAAAAGCGATGCCCAAGTCTTAAAGTTGATTGTTAATATACAATCGTACCGGGTTTTGAAGGATCCCTTTACGAAATACTACAACTTTAGTTTTGTCTATATTAACTCAGAAACCCCAGTAACTTATCTATAATTTATTCAAACTACTCTGTAAGTCTTAATCAAAATCATATCATCAGCAAACATCAATATAATTACACAAACGTCATATATGGATAAACCTGATGTATTAAAAAGTTCTAAATCTTCTTAGCCGGAGAATTATTGAGGCCCTGCCTTAGACCAATGTATATTTCGAAAAATTCTGAACACTTATTGCAACTCAACGCACAATTTCACATTGGCGTACATAGCCTTAAACATTTGTAATATTTTACCATCAAGACCCATGTTAAAAAGTTAAAACCACAATGCATTACGATACACAGAATCAAAGGCTTTGTTTAGGTCAATACATGATTTTGCTTTTGTAATAAATATTGTGATAAAACATGTTCTATTATGCTATATAGAACAAATGCTGAAGTTATTTTTCTCGAACCAATTTTCTACTTTAAATATAAGTTAACCTAAATTACTTATCAACGTCATCCCGCGATAATTATTTGTCATGTGTTTGTCCCCCCTTTTTTTCGATTGGGTACAATAAATCCTTGTTACCAACACTCCGGGAAATGTCCCGAATTTAAAGCTTTGTTAAATAAATCTGTAATATGACAACCTATAATATCAATTGTTACTTAAAATATTCGTTTATTAATTGATCACTAGGACAAGGATATTTGTTCCGCTTAAGACCCTTAACTGCGTTATTAACTTCCTGTAGAGAGATTGGAACGTTTAAATCATGGAATGTAGTGTTATTTTCATTAAAATCGTGGCTTTTGTTTAAACGTTCCACATCGTCAATTACCGTTGATCTAATTCGAAAAATACTTATTAAATTTATCCGCCGAAATATTTCCATTTTCATTGTTACACTTAATCTTAAAATGTTTCCAGAAGTCATAAGGCTTCTAGTTTTTTAATGCAATTAATTCGCGAGATTTCTTTATTTAAAGTTTCAAAGTTTTATTCAACATTCCATAAGGCTAAAAAGCCCATGAGGATAAACATAGCACAAATATCTACATACAACGAACAGTGCATGAATTTAACAAAAAGCAATGTGACACCCATACATTCCCAAAAAGAATCTATATGGGAGGAGGTAACATATATAAACTAGTATTTAATTTAGATACATATAAAAGAAATGTAATTATATACATATAACGACTGCACGTATAAATCATTTTACATCTTAACATATTGCTCTGTAATATATATACATCATTATTTTCTCTACCCTACCTTACACGAAAATGAAATGCAAGGTAATGATATATATCCTTTCATAATACAGGTTAAAAAATAATTTTACCAATAAACATCTTCTAACCTTTAGAAAAATGCGAAAACAAAGGTTATAAGCCCGTTTCTTTTTACGGACAGTAACGTTTTCTTCCATCGCAAAGTAAATTCCTATAAAGATGAGATTTGCAATTATTAAAACCCTTAGCGCGTTTTTATATTCATGTTTAAGACGTAAGCATTCTGAGTCAAACCACTGAGTACAATTATCACGTGATTTAGACAGATTATAGTGAACATTTCCTTGAAAGTCTTTCTTAAATAATGGATCTTCCGTTTTTATCAATGCTGCTTGAATAATGTCAGTGTCTATATCCAAAGAGTCGTTAGAAATAGTATCATTAAATATATTAACCTTACCAATTAAATTTTTTGGTAATTTACTTGAATTGAAAGTGCCTATGGCTATGTACTTGTCAATAATTTACTTTTGGATACATTTTCAGAATTTTCATGAAAATAAGCATGATTCTGGATAAACAAAAGATATCGGCACATGCAATTAACAACAAAATTTAACCTGTGACATTCGATTTGGTTGTGTGGTATCTTGCTGATTTTGTAAAGATGGTGTGCGAGTATCCTCGGAGTTATGTGTAGACTCTGTCTCTGATTGAACACAAAACTTGTCACCTTTATCCCCGTTCAAATCTACATCTGCAACAACAATATAAATACAATTTTTAATCTTTGTTGTTTATTATGGAATTTTATTAAATCTAACTATAAGCTGTGTGTATAAATTTTGCAGATATTAGAACATAAGTTACTGTTAAATTACTTGAAGGGAGGTTTTGGGGTTGTGGGGAGGAAGAGAGAGTGTGATATGTTTTTACAAAAGCAATTGTCCTGCTGGGCAAAAAGCTTCAACATTTTGGCTGTCCCACAATATTTTCTCAATATAAAACTGACTTTTATACATTTTTACTTTGCTATATTCGTTTTTAACTTCCTTTTTACAGATATAACTGAAATCTTCAACAAATGTTTAAACATGTTAGAAACAATTTTTTGCAGAACTTTTGTAACTCATATCTAGAAACAAATATTTATTTGCGTCCCGACACTAAAACAATGAATTAAAAGGATCTTCAACTACACGTCATATTATAATATATACCTGATGATTCTTCCTTCATTATTGTAGCCATTATGCTGATTTTATTAGGTTTGTAACAATATTATGCTTTAACAAGTAGAGCGTTTTCTCTACACAAACTTCTGTTCATTTCACAAAATTTAACTAAACTTGTTTGACTGAAAAGATAAAAGACAATCATCAGAAAAGTTAATCTTCAAAGGGTACATTTCAAAGATGATAATTCTAATAGATAATAGATAATTCTGATACATTTAAGAAACAATATCTAAGTATCAATTGAGACAAATAATACATTACGTGTACCTTTGCTGTAAATATTTATTCAGTTATCTCTTTTCAAACTAACTTAATTAATACTTTCAAACTGTTAATAAATCTGTTTTTACCATAACAAAATCAAATTTTAAAAAGTGTTGATATTCCAGTATTAACCCATTCTTGCATTTAAAGCAAGGGGTTGAAAAAATTGATCATGCTTATTTCTGTGCTGTTAAACTGATGTTGTTTATTTTTCAGCAAGTTACATTTCTGAGACTGTTTATCAAAATACTCAGAGTGTATTTTTGGCCTAGCCCTAGTCCGGCAATGATGCTAAATGCTTGTCTGTATGAAATACTGCATACATTTAAAGCGCATAGACGAAACGGTTAATTTTTGTAACTAACAAGGATCAGGGCTGGGCCGTATCCTACAAAATGAAAACAAACGTCGCCATCTTAGAACGAAAAGGATATTTTTTTGTTTATCACTCATTTGTTGGAAATGACTGAAAATCAGATGTATGTATTAACACGCTCGACTATTTTCCGCTTCCTTTGGTATATGTAGCTTTCACAACTATTTTGTAAAGCAAAAGTTATAGCGAACTTGCAACTCGATTTTTATGAAATTTTGTAGATACAATGCAATTCATATTGCTTTATTCATCCTTTTATTCATCATTGTTTTCCTTGAAATCAATTATATACTCGTTTTAAAGTTAACCATAAACTTCAAAATATGATTTTGCATCATTTAAAAAAAAATCATGAAAGAGAGATTATTATTTTGCAACACCAACAATATAGTCCAACTATAGTTTTCATGACGTTTTAGAATGGAAATACTGATCTTGATTTTGAGTGATCCGTGTTATATATAACGCACGATATATCGTTCAAATATTTTTAATTAATCACTCAGGCATACGGTCTTCGTGATTATAAATACTGCTCATCTGAACTCCATACTGTGTCAGATTATAGCACAGATCACTCAATATCAAAGTCTATTTCCTAATTTAAGTTTATTTGCTCACCTTACTTTAAATAAGATTCTATAACAACTCGTTTGCCATAGAGCATAAAGTACGAAGTTCCATAGAAACGGATGTTGTATTTCGTGTAGGCGCATTCTGCGTGGGGCAAAAGGCATTAAAAAGAAAATATAATAACTGTATTCAACAACTTCATTAAAACTATATGTAATGTGAAATATTAGTCATTAGTTTAGAAAAGATTATTTTTTATAAATAACCGTTATAGGTGTATGAAGGTTTGTTAATGCATTTTAAAGCACAGAGGTCCTAAAACGAAATTTATGAGCAAAATTCACTTCCACAATGACATTCAAACTTGCGTTCATAGGTATGACGCTTCGTATAATAGTCTTTATGTTAAGGTATGATACTCAGAAAAGAACATATGTTTCAAAGGACCACGTTACTGATGTCGTCCTTCATGTCGTCTGGAGAATAATTTGCCACATATTCAGCATACATTTATTTTCTATTCTGATTGTTTTACATGACTCATTTTTGTTTAAAATACCGGTTGATAAATGTTCGCAGAATCAGAATTTTTGGGATGCGCGCGCATCGTATGCCCGGAGTGTCACCCCTTGAAAAAGCACACTACAGTACTAAGTACAAGTGTGCCTTTCCTTAACTGATGTAAATGTCTGCTTAAACTTGTACGACCTTAAGATATTTGCTGAATTTAACATTTACATATATAAAGTTTATACAAGTGCGCACAGCAACATGTTTTAAAAATAAGACTAGAAAGAGCATCGAAACACGAGGCTATCTGATTTGTACGAGGGGGCGTAGCCCCCGAGTATTAATCAGATTGTCGAGTGTTTTGATGTTCTTTCTCTTTTGTATCATAGCCATGTCACAATATGAAACCCCGGGAAAAAGTAATCAATGAACGAGCATCTGTATATGATATTTCTGTCGCTTTCCCTTCCTCTTCCGTGTCACAATAAGTAAACTCCAGCAAAAATGAGCCGATCAATGGTCATACTCTGGAGTGCGGGTAACTAATACCTACACTCCAGTTCTTGCACTGTGCATGTATATGTATACGATTTAACTCTGACACATTTTCAACAGAAAGGTCCCCAAACTATGATACAACTGTTTATTGAAACATGATATTTCCACTACACCCCATATTTTCCGCACACCGGTCTCTCAAATTTCGACCTGTATCATATGACGCATTATTCACCCCAAATGAGGATAAAAATGACTCCGACGTAAAGTAGTCCGAGTAGGGATGACGATTTTATTTGATAATACACAATATATTTTTTCAATGACTAAAATTGTTTTTTTCTTCCACGGGATCACTGTTTTCTAGATTTTAATATTGCAGGTGCAATTGATAGTTTCACAGTGTAACTATTTATTTAAATATTGAAAACTACTTTCTCTTTTGCGTTTAAACTAACAATGGACGAAATACTATCACAGGTGATGAACGGAAGAAGTGTTTGATGCATGTTTATATTGTAGTAACTACCACAAGGGCGTTTAAATTTATTAATTACAATTTACAATTGTTTTCTTCTTCATATGTGCATATTTTTGCTATTCCAAGTACTTAACATGACTTGTGCATAAGCCACTTTTTAGTCTTTTTCAAATCCACCAAATCTTTCAAGGTGTTTGTATATGCTTATTGTATAACTGTTGTACAATTTGAAATAAATATTGTTATAAACTTTAAACTAAGTTGTACAAAAGTAATCATGAAAATGTTAAAATTTTCACACAAAAATTTCATTATCATTACTGATAAAACTGTATTTATAGTACATAAAGACCACAAACCTGAAGTTACTCGATATCAGACAATTCCGTTGATACACACCTGCTATATTCGCCGTGACCAAATTTATACTGGGACTAATAATGTAACGAGACGGGTAACACAGGGATTGGCACGCCGTTGTGATTTCATCCAATCAGGAATCTGCGCCGCTATTTTACAAATTTAGTTTATGGTCATTCTTTCGCATTGTTACATGGCAAGCAATTGGCTGCATAGTGCAGGGAAAACCGAAAGATTCAATTAAACATAAGGTGATTGGATAAAAATAGGGTATTTTTAAGTATAAAAACTAACTATATTGTTTTCTGGAAAAAAATATTTTATAAGACTCTATGATAATATGTGACTTGAAGATTTGAATTGATAAAAAGTGTATGTCAGTCCTTGGATCAGCAGATAATAGCAATTAAAGGGGGTTTATCCTCTTTAAAGTCCTTATGTCAAAAAATTGGTTGGCTACCCCTTTATAACAGGATCGTTTTTTATGTGTCAGGCATTTCATTCTGCTAGAAAAATTACCTCTTTAGCATGAATACTCAATTTCAAGGTAGGAACAGGGACCATTTCTTATAATGTAAGTCTATGAGAAAATCAATGTAAGTGTCTGACCTAAATTTATACGATAAAAATTAATGCGGAAGTTAAATTTGTCGGTACTTTCCGAAAACTTTTTATTGGATAGGGAACCAGGTATAATAAACAAAAAATAAATAAATAAACAATTAACAAGAAATTAGTGTGGATAGCTGAGTCTTGTAATTTTATTTTTATCATGATTGTGAATGTGTCGGTTTTACTGACTTAATTCAAATGACAGATAAAAATGAATTTAAGCAAAAAATACTTTATTTATTTGCTTATTTATACAAACCGAAAGATAGAATAAACATATTAACGGTATTGTAATTTGTTTCTAAGATAATTTATCAATTTACTCTGACTGCCAGACATATAAAAATTCATATATCCTTACGGAAATACCACACATTTTTTTATGGATACCCGATACATTTATCTATCATCCAATATACAGTGATTGCACGTGTTTGCGTTAGAAAGGACCAGCGTTTTTTTTGTTTATTTTGGTATTTTTTTTGTGAGGGTGCACATTGAGCATATTTAGTTTGTCATGATGGTGAAAATCAAAGTTTTTTATTTGTACTAACGATATATTTATTTGAAATCAGGTTGTTTTGGAATTTTTGAAGCAACTAAAAGTTGTTGGTTTAGCCAACTTTCATTGAATTATAGAAGAAATTTGTTTTTATCATGTATTCCTCTTGATAACTGTAGCTTACCAGTAGTGGCATATAAAGAAGTATTTATGTATTAAAAGTAGAATATAACATTAAGGTTACATGTTTGACAGAAGGTGTTGGCCCGTGGTATGGTCTTAGTATGTGGTACCGATTCATTTCCGACGGTTTTCATGTCTGTTCTATCATTAGTTTTCTTTAGGTTGTTAGGCTGTCAGGCTGTTAGGCTGATAACTTCACAAATTTCGAAGCGTCAGAATGAAAAAAGAGGTTCAATATTTTAAAAGATCATGATATTGAAATAAGACGTGAAATAATCTAAGTATGTGCTACCGATTCATTTCCGAGGATTTTCATGTTTGTACTATCCTCAGTTTTCTTTAGGCTGCTAGGCTGCCAGACTGTTAGGCTGCTTACTTCTCAAATTTCGAAGCGTCAGAATGAAACAAAAATAAAGTTCAATATTTTTTATTATTTGTGATAATTTTGCGTTTCAAAGAAAGTCTTAAAAAAGGTCCTTACTTATGACTCCTATATTTATGACCAAAAACAGTCCTAAGTCTAGGAGTGTTTTAAAGGTATCTTAAGATTGTCCTAAGAAAATCAAACAACTTTTTGTTGAATTTTGTTTTGAATGATAGATAATTGTCTAACTAAGAAAATAAATCCGAACACCAATATCTTTAATTCAGTCAATAACGCTGTACAGAAGTTTAAAGAGTTGTTTACATGACGTCACAATGTAGCGCCAAATATCGCGTGCAAAACGCATCTATAAATAATAATATTACTGCGCGCTGTACAATTTCAGTTGCGTAGCAAGCAAGGGGGTTCGTACCCATTTTTTACTATGAAATTAAAAAAAACGGTTATTTTATCGTTTTCGTGAAATATGGTATATATTTTCACTCAACATGATAAGAGGACAATACATTACTTTTTATACTTGCTATAATCAATTTCATAGTAAATCCAATACGGGATTATGCGCGTGCCATTGTATTTTGTAACTTTTTTCGGGAGAGCGAATTGGTCATAAGTCTTAAGTTTAAGACAAAAGATAGGACAGTTACTTGAAACGGTCTTAAGTGTAAAAACTTTTTCTCCTAAAGTTGGTCATAAGTCCTAGGATTTAGGATTAAAAACGCAGCCCTGTGTTCAAATGTTAACATAAGTGTTCATCAGTGTTCTAACTTTTAACATACTTTAACTTTTAAACCATTTCCCTATGCGTTTCAATATTATGTTTGCATCCGGAAATTTGAAACGCAGCCTGGCATTTAAAAACTAGAAATATGAATGTTCATAAATTTGTTTATATGTGGAATGGTTTGGTGTTAAGAACTTTTTTTTCTTGCATAGCGGACTGGCGTTTCCGTGAGTTTTACCCAATGCCGGCGAAAATTTCATCTGGCATGGGGGGTGCCAGGATGAGTCGCGTGCCAAAGCAACAAAACGTCATTTAAGCGCACTTTATGAATTGAACCCACGTTAAAATGACGTCGTTTTAGAAGGGAAAATGTGCTTAGGATGACGTCATTTCGCCGTTGTTATTAAAAAGTTGTAAGTTCATACGCTATTGTAAGAAAATAGTTATGGATGAAAATGACTTTTAAATTCCATGAACATATATCATATTGATGTAAACCATTTTAGAAGATTTTATGAAATAAAAATATGGCAGAATATGCAAAGAAAAAATATCTAACATATGTTTGCGGTTCCGGACCGGAATAAATCCGTCCCTCGGGAACCCGCCCATGGGGTTTTTGACCGGAGATGACCCATCTTCGATCTTGACTTAGAAATAATCAAAACAACCTTCCTGACAAATTTCAAGAATATTTGAATCACAATTAATATTAACAAGATTTTTCTATTTTTAGCTCCTGTGGCCTAGTTTATGACCGGAGATGACTTATTTTCGAACTTGACTTAAAAATCATCAAATCGACCTTCCTGACAAATTTCCAGAATATTTGAATCAAAACTGCAGCCACTAGTGTTATCAAGCTTTTTCTATTTTTATCTTCTGTGACCTAGTTTTTGACCAGAGATTATCCATCTTTGATCTTGACATAGAAATCGCCAAAACAACCTTAATTGTTTTATATAATAATTATTGTGCTTCTATATTTTAGTTCTTTCTTTTCGGCATCTTTCTTGTTGGGTGGTTCCAGTATTCCTCACTTGAATACTGTTGAATCACCCTTAAGATATGAGGCCTGCTTTTTAAATTTGTCTTTTGACGTTATATCTGTGATATGCAGGCTTCATAACCTCTGATCTCCTTTAAACTTCCATTTTTTTTAGTTCCGCCCATTGTTTTCTCGTTTAGGGCACACGCATTTTTTATTTGGGGACCATATGCCGCTTTTCATGGAATGGCACTAACGTGTCACATTGAAGGTTCCATGTTAAGCGCCATATGAACACATCTGCGGATGTTTCAAAATTCTGGAAATTTTACCAGTTCATGTTAAATGTTGAATTCTGCTCAAGCCTGTGCTAGGGGTGTGGACGGTAGTTTGCACTTGACAGTACCGTCCATGAACAGGCTCAATCAAACCGAGCCTGCAACATTTTCAATTTTGTTGTGTTGGGCTTTCTTTAGGGATTCTTATTTCTATCTATTTCCTGACAAATTTCCAGAATATTTGGATCAAATCTTCAGCCACTAGAGTGTTAACAAGCTTTTTCTATTCTGTTGTCTTATAATTTACGAATACAATTAATTCTTGCACAATTTCTTTTTATGAAAAGTGAAAAATCGCTTTTAAGCTAACACAATGAGAAATAAATGAATTTTGCATTAGATATCATAGTCTTGCTGAAAGTATCGGAGTCTTCCGAGGGATCGCTTTGTTTCCAGATTTTTATGCTTCACAACAGCAGGTGTCAAGTGCCGTGTGGCAGCTGTAAAAGTAGCCCCGTACTTCACTTCAATATTTTTCTGGTCCTTCAGAATCATTGATAACTGGATTAGAAGTCATCGACTCTAACCCCTCGACCACGGAGGCGGTTTTACATTCATATCACTGTCATCAAGTATTATTGAATAAGCACTGTTCATAGAATTACATATCTAGACATGGTATTTTCAAAAGATACAAAGATAAATGAAGGCGACTGATACATCATATCATCTCGTATGTGTAGTGAAATAGGTATATCAATAGTATCGCTTGACCCACATACAGTTGCTGATGATGATTTGAAAAAATAAACTTTCTTTCAAAAATTATTCAAAATTTCATTTTAACCATTAAACAACCCTAGATCACTCACCAAAGATCCACTGCAGGAAAATTGCCATAATTCTTTAAATAAGAAGTAAGATAAGAACATTATAGGAGTACCACTTTTTTCACCATATACAATAACTGTTATTTGTACAGGTTCACTTCAAAAGAAACATGCCCAGTATCTAGGCAATCGGTACTATTTCACGCAAGAAAATAGAGAAAATAAGAGTCCCTAAAGAAAGCCCAACACGGTAAAATTGAAAATGTTGCAGGCTCGGTTTGATTGAGACTGTTCATGGACGGTACTGTCAAGTGCAAACTACCGTCCACGCCCCCGAGCACGGCTTAAGTAGAATTCAACATTTAACATGAACTGGTACAATTTTGAAACATCTGCAGATGTGTTCATATGGCGGTTATCATGGAACCTTCAATGTGACAAGTAAGTGCCATTCCATGAAAGCAGCATTGGGGCAACTTTGGCGCCACTTACTGCGCATGCGCGATATTATTTTGGATTATAGTTTGAATGGCATTACGCTATCTGTTGTTTGTTAGATACGTAATCAAGTAGCTTGTTTTATATAATTAATCTTGTTAGACGCGTTTTATAACAAAGGGGAACAAAGGTGTATTGTTAGTTAGATTATTTATATTAA